CCTTCGGTCCGTGGTGAATTTCCAAACTGCGCCGACACGTTAAAAAACTAAAAACACCACCGTCTTCATTTATTTTGCTGCCCGCGCACTGAATCCTGGGATATCCTCGGCTGGTAAGGATACATGGATGCATCCTCGGATTTAGACAGGAAGTAGGACGCATTCCTCGGCCGCATGATGAGGAGCCTTCGAATTGGGACAGTCCTCTGTGCGGGGCAATGACGTATGCGGCCGACAAATGCGCACTCATGAGGACCCAGCCCCTGAATTGAGACACAGCCATAGGTTCTGTACATAAAGAAAAACATCACTTCCTTGTCATAACTCTTCTTCAGTGATAGAGCTTGGTGATGTTTCAAACTGTTAAACACTGCCACCAACTGTTCAGGAGGAATATTACACCCCTAAAAGTTGTTTCACTGTGGAAGGGGAGTGTACAGCAGGGTGACCAATGGGGTGGCCAAAGATTTGTCTGTGGTGGCCATGGCCACCCTCTGGCCACCCTCTGGTTCCACCCCTGGTTGCAACACAAAACATCTGCGAGTCATGGAGGCCCATCGCAATTAAGCAAGCAAGCCCAAAGTTCCTTATTGACTTTGCGCTGAAACAAGGAGAGGAGATTACCCATAATCCATTGTCTTTTCTGTACTGCTGATTTTCGCCTTAAGGCGCAACAGCCCTCTGGTGACACAGATCTGCCAATTCCTCTCTACAAAAAAAAAGCTTTCTCCATCACTTTTCACCCCCAGATCACCTCCAAATGTGCAGACACCCCCCTCCTGTCCTTTTAGCTATTTTAAGCCTCACAGTTTGTCACTGTGAAAAAGGAAGACATTCTCCCTTCCTAAAAGAAACTCAAACCAAAAGCGGAAATCGAAAGAAATCGAACAATCCTCGCACAAATATCCCTGCAAACTCGATCGARCTCCTCTTTAGGAAGTCTGCGATTTACACATTAAAACACGTCAATAAATAAAAGCCAAACTACGAGGAAAAATAAACAGGATCTGCCTTTTTTTTTCTCTACCCTCTAGCCGTCGAGCCTTTCTATCTACAAGGTGCACTCAGATTTCTGTATGAGGTTAGTGTGGAAGATATCTTCGAGCAGCATTTCACACCACTACTGTTAAGAAGAGGCGGAGAGAAGAGGGGAGTGGAGCTGAGGCTATGAAGCTAACACTGATGGCAGTAGTAGTGGCTAGTAATGGTAGGATTGTTACTCCAGTGCGAGGGGGCAACTGGAATTTATTACAAGATGCTCAGGTCATCCCCGCTCCCTGAAAAAGGGGGACTCCGTCTCATTCGCCTCTGCGATGTACTGGCCTCACTGAGTGGTGCAGAGAGGAGGGGGGGCCAGGAAGGACT